CAACGTGACACTTGTCAGGAGACAAGGTTGGCCTCTGCTGTGACAGCCTGGGAAAATCCCCCAACCCAGCCAACTAAACCACATCCACGTCCAGCCTCTGTGAGCCTGCCCTCTGTGAGCCTGCCCTCTGTGAGCCTGCCCTCTGTGAGCCTGCCCTCTGTGAGCCTGCCCTCTGGGCTGGTGCCTCCAGGTCAGACCTTGCTTGAGGACTCTGGCTCCAGGAACTCAAACAAAACAAACCAGTCTCCTTCTGGCTCTGGTAGGTGTGTGTGTCAGGTGCTTGTGTGGATTTTTTGATTACTTAGAAGGTTTTTTTATTTTTTAATTGTTATTTAAAAACTATTGTGTTAGGTTGAAAGAAAACAGGAGAATATCACATAATGTTTTAATTGTCTAGAAAGAGCAGCCCCTTCTGAAGGGTATGCCCTTGTCTCTGCCTTGGCATTGGATTCTTCTGGAAATTGTGAACTGTACCTTGTGCTTAGTGTTCCCTGAGAGTGTGCTGCAGGCACTGCCTCGAGGCCAGGAACACACTCTCTGGTCACTATTCTTGATCAACTGCTGACGGGCTGGCCTGGTCCTGAGTGCTGTGCTCTGGTCCACCCTCAGGAGGCCCCTGGCTGGGGCCTTGTCCACTTCTTTCTCTCTCCAAAGAAACTGAGGTTCAGGCCCCACTAAGGGCCACAAAGCAAGAGGCAGGTGGCCCTGGCCTCCAACCTTGATGTCAGCCCTGTTGTGTCACCAGCCGGCCTGTAGGCCCAAGGTCATCATGAGGTGATCCTGATGTCACATGGGTGTCCAGGGGCCATAATTAACCTCAAGGAGATAGCATGCAGCAAAAGTGAGAAACAAACCCCTCAACTGTACCAGGACAGTGGCCTCCATATCTGAGGATTTTACATCCACCGACTCCTCAAACTGAGAATCGAAATGTTTTTAAAACATTGCTTCTGTACTGAACATGGACAGACTTTTTTCTTGTGGTTTTTCTCTAAACAACATAGTATGAGAATTGTACATATAGCGTTTACATTGCCTCTGGTCCTGCAGGTGATCCGAGATGATTTGAAGTGCGTAGGAGGCGGGCACGGTGGCACACCTCTAACCTCACTACCTGGGAGGCCGAGGCAGGAGGATCAGAGTTCAAGGGCAGCCTCAAAATAAATAAATAAATAAATACAATGCAACAGAGGACATGGGAGGGTGTGTGTTAACGTTCATATAAGGATGTAGACATCCAGGGACTTTGGAATGGGGCATGTGTCCTGGAACTAATCTGTGGATATCAAGGAACAACTGTCCTTTTCTTGAAAGTATAACATCTGCACATAGAAAAAACATTGAAGCTGAACAGGAGAATAAAAATGGAAAGCAAGAAAGGCTTCTACCTAGAACCTCAGGGCCCACCCCTAGATGCCACCACCTTCTAAGCTTCTTGTTTGAAGGACTTTGCTGTGAGCCCAGTGGCCGCCCCTCCCCGGTCGCCCTGGCCACCTGGTGCGCCACTGCTTTTCCCACAGCCCCCTTTCCCTGTCGGTCCTCTTTATTTTCTTAGTGGCATCCTCAGGGCATCAAATCCCTTCCCCTTCAGTCCCCCAAAGAGGTAGCCCCGGTGGGTGTCCGGGGAGCATGCAGGGGGCTTCAGCCTGTCCCTGATGTCCTGCCGTCAGCTCCTAGGGAAGAACGCCTCTGCTGGCCTGAACCAGGTGAACAACCAAGGGCTGACCCCGCTGCACCTGGCCTGCCAGATGGGGAAGCAGGAGATGGTGCGCGTGCTGCTGCTGTGTAACGCCCGGTGCAACATCATGGGGCCTGGGGGCTACCCCATCCACACCGCCATGAAGTTCTCCCAGAAGGGGTAAGACCACCCCCCGCCCCAGGGAGCAGGATCCTCCACAGACCTCAGAGCAGAGGCCCAGGTCCCCGAGCCTCATCAGATGCATATCAGCTACACCCCAGGGGCTGGCTAACAACGGGGTGGTGGCTGTGAACTTGGTCCACAAGCTCACCTATGCAAGGAATGGAACTTTCAGAATTTTTCTGTACACACCTTAATTTCTGACCGTGAACCTCCCTCTGCCAACATGGAGAAGGTCCTGCAGTCTCGGTCTTTCCTAGGTCCTCCCTTCTCACCCTGCTCCACACGCAGCTCCACCTTCTGCAGTTCGGTGCAGGCTGAGACTTGGAGGGGTCTCCTCCTTCCTGGCTGCAGTGCTTGGTGGCTTCTGCGCCTGGCTCAAAGCCCAGGGATGTTTGGCCAGTTTGGCCAGGGTCCTGTCTGGCCAGATGCGTTGCTCCCTCCTGGCTGGTGGCAGTGCTGGGCTGCAGGTGCTGAGCCCATGTCCTGGGAGCTCTAGACACTGTCTTATCTGTCCCCTTCTCCCAGACTTGGGAAACTCAGCCTCTGGAAAATTCTTCTACCAGTATGAGTGGGGAGTGGAATCAAAGAGGCGAAATGTCACAAAGTAGCATTTAGCAGGAAGGGCATCTAGATTGAATGAATGGGTGAATGACTTCTTGGCCCATTGACCCTGTGGCCTTGCAGAAATGAACAAAATGAGCCCTGAACCAAGCAGCTGCAGGACAGGAGACCCCAAGTCACCCAGAACCTGGCAGTGCCACCTGCTTGAGGGCCGTGTGTGCAGACGAGGAGGCTTTCCTTCCCTGCGGCTTCACCTACTTCCTCGACCCCACGCACGGGACACTATTGTCCCTGGAGAGGTCTTGTCTCAGCTGGGATAAACCTGCCTCCTGCCTTTTTTTTTTTTTTTGATATTAGAAATTGAACCCAGATGTGCTTTATCTCTGAGCTACATCCCTCTTTTTAAATTTTTTAAAAATTTGAGACAGGGTCTTGCTAAATTGCTGAGGCTGGGCTCAAACTTGTGATCTTCCTGCCTCAGTTTCCCCAGTTGCTGGGATTCCAGGCGTGCCCCGCCGCACCCAGCCTAAACCCTACTTTCTTGATTTTCCCTAGCACAGCCAAAATGGACTGGAACTTGTCAGAAAGACTTGACCAAATGGTTACAGAAAATACCAACACCCCCAGTGGTCAGGTGGCCTAGTTGCGGGTTGTGACCTGAAAGGACACCAAGTGACAGGTGATGCTTTTCTGTACCCAGGGGGCTGACACATACCTAGCTCTTGCTGGGCTCTAACCACCCCAGGCTTCTTTGTGCAGGAGTCTGGTCACTGTCCCATGCCTCCCTCTTCTGCCCCTCAGCCACCTGCTTTGCCCCCCGGGCCATCTGTATGGGCCTGGCATCTGAGCACACAGGAGGATCCTTGCACAGAGACCAAGGGAAAGTCTTGTGCTGTGTTACGCCCAGCAGGGTGACAGCTTCCACACGGAGCCGGCCATGTTCTCTAAGAAGCGCGTGTGTCCTGCGTGTCAGTTGTTCTGAGAGCCGCTGTCCTGGCTCAGACTAACAGCCCCTTTGCTGTGTCTGTTGATTCAGTGACCTTGACCAGAGCTGGGCGTGTGCCTGCACTCAGGTGTTGAGGTCCCCTCCTGGAGGAAGGGAAACGTGAGGCCAGGTAGCGAGAGGGCAGAGACGGAGGGCACGCGGGTTACCCTCCGAGCTCAGGAGGGTGTCCAGGCAGCGGGGTTCAGGGAAGGCTCAGGGGGAGTGGAGCTCGAGCCTGGCCACGAGAGGCCCCCTGGAGCCGGAGGCCCGAGAGCCCAGGGGAGGAAGTGGGCTCAGCTGCACAGCCCAGAGCTGGGCTCCTGGCCCTGGCATGAGGGCTGTCGGGAGGTGAGGCTCTTGTTCCACTCTGGGGGCACCAACACCACCGCCATGGCAGTCACAGGTACGAATGGCAGCCGCTGCTGCCCCGCCTCTGGGCGCATTTCCTAGCAACCCAGTGAGCTGCTGTATCTTATCCCATCTTATAGATTGAGGGACCAAAGTCTGAGGTTAAGTAGCTTGCCCAAGGCCAGGCGCTCGTGCAAAGGGCTTAACTCAGGCAGGCTGTCCCTAGAACTGGACTCTTTTTTTTTTTGAGTTGTAGTTGGACACAGTACCTTTATTTTATTTTATTTTTAAAGAAAGAGAGAGAGAATTTTTTAATATTTATTTTTTAGTTTTCGGTGGACACAACATCTTTATTTTATTTTTATGTGGTGCTGAGGTTCGAACCCAGGGCCTCGCACGTGCTAGGTGAGCGCTCTGCCACTGAGCCCCAGCCCCAGCCCCCTCTTTTTTTTTTTTTTTAACAGCTTGGAGATGTGATTTGCATGCCATAAAATTCATCTATTTAAAATCTGTGATTCAATTGTTTAGGATTTTTTAAATTAATTATTATTTTTTTTAGCCTAAAAAAGGAAGGAAATTCCATTACAATTTATTGGTTGTTTTCTGGCTATTGAGTTGCAAGAGTTCTCAATAAACTTGGGTCTCAGCCTCTTACTTGATATGTGGTTTGCAACCCCGCCCTCCACGTGTTACTTTTTGTTTTGTTACTTGTTTCCTTTGCTGAGCTACAGCTTTTCCTTTAACATAGTTGCGTTGATTTATTTTTGCCTTTGCATCCTGAGTTTTTAGAGTGCTAAGAAATCCTTGCCAAGGCCGGTGGGTTGGCTTCATTGCGACTTTATATGCAGGGGAAACTATCCCTCATCAGTAGGCACAGCCCCGAGTCACGGCCACCAGCACCCAGCTGCCTGCCTCTCCTCACTTCTGCGTGGCCTCTCTCCCTGCAGGTGCGCTGAGATGATCATCAGCATGGACAGCAACCAGATCCACAGCAAGGACCCTCGCTATGGGGCCAGCCCCCTTCACTGGGCCAAGAATGCTGAGGTGAGCCGGGGCCAGGGCAGGACAGAGCCCCGTGTTCATCAGCACCTGCAGACAGGAGGCTCCAAAGGATCTTGAAGATGGCACTTGGGGACTGGTCTCAGTGAGCCCATGGGAGATAAGCCCAAGGAGAGGTGAAGTCCTGTCTTTACTCTGCTGCTCACTGGCTGGGGGCAGCGTCCCCTCTGTGCCGTGGTTTCTTTTCCATGAAGCAGGGTCCTCTGGCCTATCTGCAGGTGTTGGATGGTAGTGCCTGAGAACATTCTGCATGAATTGTAAAGTGCCTCGCAAATCGGAGGTGGTGTGCTGTGGCCACAGTGCTTGCTCAGCTGGCCCTGAGTGCCTGGATGGGCATCCCAACTGTGTTCCAGCACAAGCTGAGCTGGGATCAGGGCCTCTGGTCTCATCACCAGGAAGTGCCGTTTATAGTCCATGTGTGCCCACGACCCAGCCTACTCTAGGCCTGCCAGGCCAGGAGGAGGAGGTACCAGCCTCTGGGGACCTCTGTGTACCCGGAGTGTCACGCCAGTCAGGCCCTTTCATGTATGGTTCCTTACTGTCACCACATCCTATGCAGTAGGGACTTGCAGTCCCATCTCCACAGAATAGAATGTGTCTGGTGCCAAAGCCCAGGTTCGTCCCCTTGGCCCTTCTGCTTCAGGACTGCAGGGAGCAAGGATGTGGCTGCCAGGGCCCAGTGAGGGGTGATGCCTTGGCAGGGCCCCAGGGAGGGCAACAGCTCAGGAACAGAGCCCAGAGGAGCCGTGGCAGGGAGGGATGGGGATTCGCTCCAGGAAGGGACCGGAAGCCCTAGAAACAGCACATCTGCTCTTTGTCCCTTGCTCCTGGGGTGCTGATGATGTAGGAGCCAGGGTCCAGGCCACCCCTGTAACCGGGACCTGCCTCTGGACTCTTGCGTTGCTAGAGCTTTCCAGAGGCCTCAATTCCCGAGGGCCTCTCGGGGAGGGAGCACAGTGCCCAGTTGCCGTGGACAGCGGCTGCTCCCCAAGTTCCCCCCTGACTCTTGCTGGCCTGCGCCCCCAGATGGCCCGGATGCTGCTCAAACGGGGCTGCGACGTGGACAGCACCAGCGCCTCGGGGAACACGGCCCTGCACGTGGCAGTGACGCGCAACCGCTTCGACTGCGTCATGGTGCTGCTCACCTACGGGGCCAACGCGGGCGCCCGCGGCGAGAATGGCAACACCCCGCTGCACCTGGCCATGTCGGTGAGCCTGCCCCGCGCCCCGCTGCCTGGCTGCCCGGGTGGGCCTGCAGGAGACCTCAGAGCGGGGCTCACAGCCCTCGGCCCCCTTCCCTCGGCCCCCTTCCCTCGGCTGCTCACGGTCTTTTTCTCCCTCCAAGGCTCAGTTTGGACCCTGCCTCCTCCCTCAGGAAGCCTTCCGTGACCTCCCTCAGCCCCAAATGACGTGTCCTTCCTCTTTCTCCAGGAGCTTGTCCTCCTGTGTCCCAGCACCCACGTGGCATGAGGGAGAATCCCGCCCGGCTGCCAGCAGCTGTGGTCTGGGGCAAGTCTCATCCGTTGTCAGCCTCTGGAAAATGGGGTGTCATTGCCCAGCCAGGAGAGTCGTCACAGTGATTAAATGGCAGGCAGGAGGTGGCTCTGTGCGCAGTGTCTGCAGGATACAGAAGTACCTGGCAGGGGGTGGCCGCCCTTCAGACTGTCCTGTGGATTCCTGACCGCAAGCCCTGGGACAGCAGTAGCCGTGGTGGGGGTGGGTGGGGTTTATTCAGATGGAGGAGGGTGGGGGGTAATTCCTGCCCTAAAGCCCGGAGCCTCCTCAGATTCCAGCAGGAATGTTGTTCCTCAGAGAGCGGACGATGGACGATGCGTTAGAGGCACACGTTGGTGTGTGTGCGCACGTGCCATGGGGTCCTTATGAAAGTCCGTCTGTCTAGGGATCTCAGAACAGGAAAGACCCCTGGGACTCCAAAAGAAGTAGAGTCAGGACAAATTCAAAGATATCCTGTTTTGTACCAAAGGTCAGAACTGTGGCAGAGACATTGTTGCCCGAGAGACTAAAACTATAAATAAGACTGGACATTTTTAGCTCTTGACTGGGCCCTTGGAGTGATCTAGTTAAGCAGTTCTCGAAGGCTGTGGCCTGTTTGGTCCCTTTATACTCTTAAAAAATATTTATGATCTGGAGACTTTCATTTATATGAATTTCCTCTTTCTATATTTGCTACTTCAGAAGTTTAAGACATTTTCAAAATATTTATTAATTCATTTAAAAATGGGTCAGAGGTGTTGGGGTAAAGCACTTGCCTAGTGTGCATAAGGCCCTGGGTTAGATTCCCAGTCCCTAGCACCCCAAAAAAGAAAACAGTAATGAACCAGGCACATGCCAAATAACATCAATGACATTTTCATGGAGAACCAACTCTATTTTCCAAAACAAAAAATAGTTGATGAATGCGAAAGGTTGATATCATTATACATTTTGTGAATCTTTTTAATGCCTGCCTTCACAGAAAACACAGGCGTTCTCATGTCTTCTTCTATACCTATTCTCTAAACAGTATGCTGTTTAGTTGAAGAGTATGAAGAAAGTCTAGCCTCACAGGTATAGTTGGAAAAGATGTGAAGTTGTACCTCTTCCGGGTAATTGTAGGTATTGTTCAGTATTACACCCAAATTCAACGAGTAACAGTTTCTGACACAGTTGCAATGGGCAATCTGAAACCATCTCCATGAACTTTTCAGTCTTTTTTAAAATATCCACTGGTATCTCTTGTACTTTGCATGATTTTTTTTTTTTTTTACCCATGCAGGATTTTGTGTCATTCTTGGAAAATATTGGTGCACTGAGTTTGCATAGCTTCCAAATGTTAACCTGTCTCGTTGGACAGTATAGGTTGAGCGTCCCTTATCTGAAATCCTTAGGCCCAGAAGTGTTTCAGATTTCAATTTTTTTTAAATTTTGGAATATTTGCATAGACTTTACCCTTTGGGTATACCTAATCTGAAAATATGAAATTGTCAGAAATATGAAACTTTGAGGTACAAATTCCAGATCTTAGAGCATTTTGGATTTCATACTTTCAGATTAGGGGATGCTCAGCCTTGTGTCAAAAACCTACATTTGTGAATCTTGCCACCTGCCTCATCAGAAAAGTCTTTAAATTGGGGAAGATGTTCATCCCATTATGATGCATTCAGGTTTTCTGAAATTCTTATTTTTTCTTGGAAGCTTCAATTTTATTATGGAAAAAAGATGTTGCCAGTTGGTTTTCTTGAAGCAACAGGCTGACTGCATTCATTTTTTGAGGAAAATGTCTCCTGAATGTCTCAGGCTGAACGCTCCTGGTTTAGCTGTCAGTCATTCTTAATAAATAAAAATCATGTCCATGGGCTGGGGCTATAGCTCAGCTGATAAAAGTGCTTGCCTTGCATGGTTCCATCCCTGGCACCACAAAGAAAAAAAAATTACGTCCGTAAAAAAAGGAGTTAGTTGGGCTGGTAACTGAAGCAGCCATGTAATTCTTACTGCTTTATCACGGGCATTCTTTTTTCTTTTTTTTTTTTTTTTAGCTGTAGGTAGACACAATGCCTTTATTTTTAGTTATATGTGGTGCTGAGGATCGAACCAGGGCCTCACACTTGCTACGTGAGTGCTCTGCCGCTGAGCCACAACCCCAGCCCTCAAGGGCATTCTTCAGTGAAGTGGTTTATTTATTTATTTTAAAAAACTTCTTTGGTACTTTGAGTGTGTAGTAGTGAAGAAATATGAGCCGGCTATTAGTTTGATACCCTCTCTTGATTAGTGCTGAGCCACCAACAATTTTATCCACTGTTTTTTCACTGTTAGTGCAAATGTCAACAAGGTGCCAAAGGCAGGTGACGTCTTGGTATCTTTTCTGAAAATAGCTTTAACTTTGAAAACCCTGTGAAGGGGTCTCTGCATTCATGGGACCCGCAGGTCTCACTTCGAGGACTGCCGACGTGTTCCTGATGCATGCCATCTGTTTGGGGCAGCTTCCTCAAGCACCTTTTCAATGTACTTGATCACTTCTTCAAACTTGCTTGTTTTAAAACATTATTTAAAGTTATTTGGAAGGCAAAGTTTTTATCACTGGTATAAGTGACAAACCAGTGCCACATAAAAGGAAACCCCAAGAGAAATACATCAGCTAGTGATTAAAACCCATATTTTCCTGCACCCATATCAACCCTAATGGAACGGGAGTCCTGTAGATACACTGCTTCAATTTGCAGGCAGCCAGGGCATTGGTTTGTCCTTTGCCGCTGGGTCATGCCCACCCTCCTCCCAGCCACCAGTTTAATGCAACACTGTGGAGCGAAGCTGCCTCTGGAGGCTGCTGTCAGGAGGCTGTGCTTTTCCCTGGACTCTGTGGGGAGGACGGCTTTCCCGTTCCTCAGTCACCCTCTCCTGTTGCTCCTGAAAGCCACCAGCAGCTGGCTCTTCAGTGTCCCCAGGGCTTCTGGGTTGGGGTCACAGATACATTTCTTCCTTGGAGGAGGAGCCTGGGTGAGTTCTTAAGCCTTTACCTGGGGATACTTTGAAGCCCATTTGTAAGGAACTGATTTCCAGCTGCAGATGTTGGAGTGCCGACGCCCCTGGGGTAGGGGTCGGAGGGCACGAGTTTCTACCCATCTGAGAGGCCCACTGAGTGAGTTGGCAGGAAGGGGTCCTTTTCTCTTTGTTTCCTGAGCTGTTGCATTTCTGCCCCAACAGAAAGACAACGTGGAGATGATCAAGGCCCTCATTGTGTTCGGGGCAGAGGTGGATGTCCCGAATGACTTTGGGGAGACTCCTGCTCTCATAGCCTCCAAGATCAGCAGACGTACGTGTTCTGACCCATGGGATCAGAATCCGGCGGGGTTTGGGTTCAGGGACTGAGAAGAGGCAAGTTCCAGCCCTAGGCCCTGCTGCTGCCTGCTGAGAGTGGCCCTGAGCATGCGGGACTCCAGGAGCTTCCTTCCCCCAAGAAGTGGCCCTGAGTGTGGGTGCAGGCCACCCAGGGCTGGCCGAGCGGGGGTCCTCTTCTGTGCACCCTGGCCCATGTCAGGGTTTTCAGGCTGCCAGTGGGGGTGGGGACAGGACAGGTGGCAGCAGAACAGCCGTGGGATTCCTGCATGCGCTGCACTCTAGTGTGCACAAGCACGAGTGTGCACATGCCTGCACGAGCCTGCACCTCCCTGTGGACGCGAGTGTGCGTGTGCCAGCCCTGCGCCATGCCCACTGAGCCCTGCTCTAGAGCTCCCAGAGCAGGTCCTCCTCACAGGAGCCTGGGGCCCCTCTGGAGGATGGAGGGTTTTAGGGATCCGTGGGGCTCTGTGGGTGTGTACCTGAGGGGGGTGTGCACAGATGCGGGTGCTGCCTCCCATGGCATCCTTTCCATCACCCCATCCACTGAGGGCTGGCTGGCTGGTTTGTCCCTTTCAAACTCTGAAAGGAACGTCCACGTGGCATTTTTGAGAGCTGCTGATTGTGGAGGTGGGAGCCCTGCTCCCTTGGAAGTGGGAGGAAAGAAGGGATTCCCCAGAATAATCAGGCAGGGTACCCCTGCCCTCCTCCTGCCTTGTGCCATGGCCAGCCCCAGCGCCTTACCTGGCCCCAGGAGACTGCTTTGGACAAGGCAGACAGAGGGACACACCCTGTCAGGGTGGCTCCACCCATATCCGGGTCACCTGGTAGATGAGACAGGGGTCCATGTGTGGAAGGAGGGGCCTCTTATTTGCATGTTGACACTATCTCTATCCTCTGCCAAACCATGACAAGATGCCACCAGGAAGGCGCTCTTGACTCTGCTGAGAACCGTAGGGGCCAACTACCGCATCTCACTCCTCCAAGAGGTCCCCACAGAGCAGGGTTCCACGGCTTCCTCTCACCCCCTCGTCTCCCCGGAAAGAGCCCAGCCCCCGCCGATCAGCCTAAACAACCTAGGTAGGCCACGCCCTCCCCTCTGCCGCAGTGCCCAGGCCCTTGGACCAGAGTCCCAACTGGAAAGAAGCAGGGCCCCAGGGTGGAAGTCGTTCCGTTGAAGGCAGCAGGGGAGGATGAGGCGAGGTTTAGCTAATGATAGCAGGTGGCAACCCAGGGGCCCCAGAGAGCTGGGGTGCCCCTGGCAGAGGTCCCACAGTCCATCGCCCCGAGAGGATGGACGTGGTCTTGGGTTGGGTATTGCTCACGGCACCCATGAAGTGGGCACTCTCAGGGCCTCCCTTGTCCCCACAGAGAGTGGGGAGAGCTGAGAGAGGCGCACACCCTGGCCTTCTTGCTTCAACTCTATCATTGTTTGAACCTTTCCAGTGCGAGGCCTGGTCTGCCACCTGCTGGCCCCTTCAGTGACCTACATGCTTTTGAGTGTGGCCCGGCAGCTAGCATTTGCCCCTGTGCACCCTAGGTGTCCTCAAAGATAGCCTTAGACAGACCAGACCCTACTCCGGGCTTTCTGTCGCCTAGTCCATTCAGGGACCTAGATTGATGGTAAGCAGAGGATCCGCTGGCCAGGCCTGGGCTCTGGAGGGACACAGCTGCGGCTGCCTCTGTCCCCAACGTGTCGCCCGAGAGCTCCAGTCACCCCCCCTATATCTTTCCATCTTGCAGGCAGGCAGTCACCCACGCCAGGCTGGACAGTGGGCCTGGGCTGTGGCAGCACATGGGTAATGCCTGAGCCTGGCGAGGCCGTGGAGCCCGCCACGCCCCTCACTGGCCATAGCTCTGGTTCTGTCTCCTCTTCTCAGCCCAGACAAGCGCCCTCCCTGCCCCGTCCCCAGCTGTCTGCTTCTGCCTCCCGCCCAGTCTTCTGCTTCCTTGGCTGCTTCTAGCTCCATGCCTGGGTGCAGCTTGCCTGCCTTGCTGCCAGTGGCCTCCCTGCAGTGGCCTTTAGGGTCACAGTCGTATGGTCCTGCTGGGTGGAGCCATTGGGGGCTGTCCTGCTTGTTAGGAGGGTGAACATGGGGTGGGGGCTTGGGCACAGAGGAAGACTGGACGGGTGGACCTGAGCCTGGAGGCGCCTGGGGACCAGGACACGAGCAGTCCAAAGGCTGCTGGGATGTCTCCCTTCATTCGTGTAGTTCAGCTCCAAGCAGTGTCCTCCACAGCCCTTTGGCTGAATGACTTGGGGAGTTATGGAGCCTCCTGGAGCCTCTTTGGGGCCTGCCCTGGCTTAGGTTGGGCATGATCCTTATGCCTCAAGGTGGCTGTCAGCAGCATGAGCTGACGCGTGGAGAAACAGGGCACTTCGGGAGTTCGTGCTTTGGGGTTTCAGGAGGAAGACACCGAGGAGAATCTGGGAGCAGCTGGACTGGGTGGGGAGCCTTCCCAGAGCAGTGGGGCCTCTCCCTGGCAGGCCTGTGGCCCCTGGCTTAGCTCTGCTCTGGGGCCAGGGCTCAGACGTGGGTGGAAGCACAGTGGGTGGGCACAGCTCCAGATTGGCTCTGGGGATCTGTGGGGCACAGGGTCAGGGACCTGCTGGCCCCAGCGCATCCTGCCCTATGCCTCGCAGAACTGCAGGACCTCATGCACATCTCCCGGGCCCGGAAGCCGGCTTTTATCCTGAGCTCCTTGAGGGACGAGAAGCGGACGTAAGTGCAGTGTGGCGGGGGGACTGTGGTGAAACTCTCCTGGTGCCCTGCAGCCCAGGCTCTCCCCTGTGCCCCCGGGAGCCAGCTCTTCTGCTCCTGCAGTCACGGCAGAGGCTGAGTCCTCTGGTCCTACATTGGCTCCTTAGTAACAGTGGAGCGGGATCCTGGGGACAGTGTAGTCCTACAGCTGGGTGCCAGGGCCAACACGGTGTGGTCCTGACCTTGCCATGGTCTGAGGCGCGGGAGGGCCTCAGGAGCCCCTCTGGAGAGATCCCAGCAGCAGCTTTCCTCTGTGTCCACCTGCTGCCTCGTCCCCTCCCTCAGCATGGTGGTGGCTTCCTGAGCTGTGTGCCTAGGCCCAGGAAGCAGGCCTGGGTGAGGATGCAGAGGGACCAGCCCTGCCCCGAGGGACCGGCTCTGGTGCCTAGAGTGAAGGTCTAGGCGCTCGACAGCCAGTGGGTTTCCAGCCCACGGGACTCCCCCACCTCTGTTAGCACACGTTGGCGGGTTCTTTGGGGGTGACCTTCCCCTCCTCCTAGCGGCCTTCCTAGGGAGGATTGGGAACCTCGCTTTGCAGAAGCAGAGCCTGAGGCCGCGAGAGGGGAAGGGACCTGTTCAAGGTGCAGCATGGAGGCTCACGCCAGGGTCCTTCCGACCTGGGTCCTCTGCTGCTCTCAGGCACAGCCGCTGCCCAGCCCACAGGGACAGCACTCCTAACGTCCCATGCAGTCCGGCTTCCAGGCCAGCAGCCAGATCTTGTGGCTCTGTCACCCCTTGCCTGAGATGTCAGTGAACCTTGGACATCCCCCATTTCCATGGCACCCTGGTGTGCGTGCCCTGGATGGCACCTGGCCCGCGGCATCCTGACCTTCCCCGTGTGCCCTGCGCAGGGAGGCTCCGTGGCAGGCCTCGTTGGCTTTGTCCCCGCCTGCGCCATGGTGCCCGTGCTTGGGGGCTGGCGCTGACGGTGCAGAAGTCAGCTCCCTCGTGACCACCACTGTCCTCACTGCAGCCACGACCACCTGCTCTGCCTCGACGGAGGGGGCGTGAAAGGCCTGGTCATCATCCAGCTGCTCATCGCCATCGAGAAGGCCTCGGGCGTGGCCACCAAGGACCTCTTTGACTGGGTGGCAGGGACCAGCACGGGGGGCATCCTGGCCCTGGCCATTCTGCACAGTGAGCACGGCCCCCGAGAGAGGGGGCGGGCGGGCAGGGTGGCCCTAATCTGTCCTCACGGGGGCCAGTGCATTGGCATAGCCTTGCAAAAAAGTGGTGGTGGGCTCTGAGGGAACCTGCAGGCCGGAGGGCCCCAGGCTGGACGGAGCAAGGCCGGGTGGGGGCTCAGCTCAAGGGTGTGGCTAGTGTAGGAGGCCATGTCCTGCAGCTGCCACCTCCACCCCTGCAAGGCAGCACCTTGGTCGTCACCGCCCCTGCATGTGTGGCTGGAGTGGACAGTCAGGAATGAGGAGCCATGGAGTCACAGAAGGCCAGAGCCCTGGAGGGCCCTGGAAATTAAGGTCCCAGGTGTCAGGGTGGCCCAGAGTCACAGGGCTTATCCCTGGTATTGCTCACGCCAAAGCAGTCCCCCACACGCCCATTATGTCCACTATGTCCCAGGCCTCACGGGCCATGAATCTGTCTCCTTCCACAGAGCCATGCAGAGGTGACAGGGTGCTCGGCATAGTAGACAGGCCACCATATAGGCCCACGTCGGCACTTGAGTGGCGTCTCTGTGGAGCTGTTGAAGCCACGTGAGGCTCAGTCAACGCCCAGCTGCCGCCAGCTGTGCGTCATCCTCCATGTCCCTGGCTGGCATTCCCTTGCCTGGTGCTGGTCACCACCTCCAGGCCACTTTCCAAATCTAGATCCTGGTGACCTGAGGCCCTAGAGGCAATAGGGGAGGACCCTACCCCAGGGTAGGGGCCATCGAGGCCCGTGAGCCATGCCTCTGCTGGGCACTGGGCATGCAGAGCTGAGTTCCCGTCTCGGGGAACCCAGTCAGAGGGAGGTACAGGCATCTGGGCACCTGCTGGGCCAGGTGAGGAGGCCAGGCTGGGGGTGCAGGGTGCTGCAGGAGCAGGGGCTTTGCCTGCCCAGGAGGCTGCCAAGCGCTCCGTCTGGAGGGTGGCCCTTTGGCAGGGTGCAGGGAACTCCGTCACTCAGCAGTCTTGTGGGGTACTGAAGTTTGTTTTGACGAGTCTCACCATAGCCATGAGGTGGCAGCCAGGGAATCTGAGGACCAGGTCAGGTCACCCAGTGAGTTGGGGCAGAGGCAGGTCTGGTGTCTGGCTCCGCCCAGCTCTCTCCCCCTTTCTGGTCTTTGTGAGAGAAGAGTCATCTCAGGACCAGCCCAGGGCATGAGACCTGGCCAGCAGAGTTGGTGGAAGTCCCACCCTCTCTGGAAAGGGCCACCTTCTTCAGGGACCGTCATCCCACAGCTGTGACAGGGGCCGAGACACTATCTAGAGAACCTCCTGCGAGGAGCAGCCTCACCAGATTGGGCCTTTATATACTTGTACACTTTGAGGGCCTTTCTTTAAAGAAAGTACTGCAAAATTGTGAACACACTGCTAGGCCCAGAGCCCTAGGGCTGTGGAGGGCGCTTTCTGTCCACGTGGGAGGGGAGATGTCAGGAAGGGTCCGGAAGTTCAGGTGCAGTCCCATGGAAGATGCACCGCCTCCCTCCCCTGCCTCCTGCCACTGCCGGCCTGTGTGCGGGATGCTCTGTCGAGTCCTGGTCCCCCACTGCTCCCCTCCCTGTTCTAGGCAAATCCATGGCCTACATGCGCGGTGTGTACTTCCGCATGAAGGACGAGGTGTTCCGGGGCTCGCGGCCCTACGAGTCCGGGCCCCTGGAAGAGTTCCTGAAGCGGGAGTTTGGGGAGCACACCAAGATGACCGATGTCAAGAAGCCCAAGTAAGCCGTCGCCGTGCCGGTGGGCCTGAGCAGAGGGCCCTGCTCCGCCTGCAGCTCTGACCCTGCGGCCTCGGGAGGAGTCGCCTGGAGGGCCCTGGGCCTGTGGGGCCAGGGACCCTGCAGGAGGCTGGGCTCTCGAGAGCCCAGGGCAAAGGCGGGGCCTGACCTCTTGGGTGCCTCTGCACCTGGCCAGGGGCCTGGCTGTCTGGAAAGAGCCTGGGCCTCCCTTAAGCTGGACGGAGGCACAGTTCTTGCTGCCCAGGCCAAAGGAGCCCCAGCCTTTACAACATGTGGCTGGACACTTTCTCACACTCAGATAGCGCTTGCTCCCGTGCTCAGAAGCCCGGTGTCAAGTGGACAGCCGCGGTGCTGTCTTTGCTTTAAGGCCCTCAGACTGGAGCTCATAGTGAGGCCGGAGCTTAAAGGACAGTCACGTGTCCAGGAAGCATTTGTTTGAGAGACCTAACCCCAAGAGGGTCATTGCAGGACCAAGCCCAGCATCCGGGCCTTCCCTTGGGGCTGGATGGAAAGGATGCCACTCAGGTGGCCTGAGGTGGGACTCGGGCAGGTCTGGACCCGCTTCTTGAGCTTGAGGCCGGGCTAGGGAAGGAGAAGACACACAGCAGGGATTTGCCTCTGGCTTCTCTATGTGGCTTCTTCCCACTGTCCTCCAGACTCAGCCCTTTGCACCTGCAGAAGCCTCCCTCAGTTCGCCCATCCTCAGTGACCATTGGGTTGGGGGGGTAGTGCCTAAGCAGCAGCCACGCCTTCGCCTTTCCTTGCCTGACACTGTTCTGATGTCCCCACCCACGGCCTGGCCCGGGGCTTTCCCCCTAGCTGCACACCTGGGACCTCTTCCCTGCAGCCTCTGTGTGGAGGGGAAGAGGGAGGGTGCACCTGGGAGGTGAGAGGCTGGGAGATAAACTGGAAAACAGCAGCCAGGCCAGGCAGCCCTGCCGCAGAGGTTCCAGAAGCTCTGCAGTCCACAGTGTACCCCACCCCACCCTGCAGTAAGGTTGCCACAAGGCTGGGAGTTCTGGAAGGCAGGGACATGGCTCCCTTGATTTTCTTTGTAGCCCAATTCAAGCACAGTGCCTGCCACAGAGCAGGCTGTTAAACAGTGTCCGTCAGCTGACCGGAGGAGCAAGAGAAAGGAGGTAGACTGAGGGTAGGTGGTCAGGGAGGCCTGCCTGGAGGAGGCAGAGTGTGAGCTAGGCCTGGAGGCATAGGGAGAATTTCCTTTCATAATAAAGCTGTTTGCTTCCTCCGTGGTCCTTTGTTGCAGGCTTCTCCCACAGAGAGACAGGACACGGGGCTTTCAGCGGGAAGCAGCATTTATTTGTGCGGGCACTGGCCCAGCAGATTTGTATCCAAAGGCTGAGCCCTGAGTGCTGAGCGCTGCAGGTTCAAAGTCTTATATGTCCCTGGCTTGTTCCCATAGCACTAGTCCCTTCGTCTCCCCCGTACGGTAGCACACTTCTGACTGGGGTTCCGTAGAGTCACAACACAGTTGACCTCCTACACGTAGTTACTCCCCTTGTCTTTGTTCTGGGAGAGCCCTGGCCACACCATTTCCAGAAGGATCTTGAGTTCAAAACCAGCCTCAGCAACTTAGTGAGGTGCTAAGCCACTCAGTGAGCCCTGTCTCTAAATAAAATACAAAATAGGGCTGGGATGTGGCTCAGTCATCCAGGGCCCCTGTGTTCAATCCCCGGGACCAAAAAAGTCTATGATTTTTTTCAGCACTTAACGTTTTTTTTCTTTGGCAGAATTCTTCCTGATCTTCCCACGGTATTCCTGGGAATGGAAAACTAGCGTTTCTTTCCTGTACAGTATTTTGTTCCCTTGCCTTTATGTTTTCTTCAGGGCATAACAGATGTCTGGGCTCCTCTGAGCTCCCTTTGTGAGCCTCGTTTGAACGGTTGCAAAACAGTTCCCTCTTCCTCGCCCTTTGCCCTTCCTGCTGGGCTTTCCCTGTCAGTCCCGCTGCTGTGAGCTCCAGTCACAGGAAGCCCTCATCCTGGTTGAGATTGTTCCTTTGGGCTGATCTTCCAGGGGGCAAGTCTCAGATCCAAGAGCCGGGATATCCAAGAGCCGGGATCTAGATACATATCAGGTTCCCTTTCTTTTTCTCTGTTTTTGGCACTGGGGATTGAACCCAGAGGTGCACTGCCACTGAGCTACTTCTCAGCCCATCCCAAAATTTTTATTTTGAGGCAGAGTCTTGCTGTCACCCAGGTTGGCCTCAAACTTACTATCCTCCTGCCTCAGCCTCCCAAGTCGCTGGGAGGCATGTCTGTGCCTGGCTTACCTATTAGTTTTTAAGGGGCCGTGCCAGGAGGCTTAAGGGCATCTGTTTCTTGGAAAGGACAGGCATCAGAGGTGACAGTGAGTTCTCCTTCCACTCCCTTCCTGGAGCTGCAGCTTCCAAGTAATCCCCGCCCCCAAAGTCAGATCCCTGCTACCAAGAACCAACACGGGGCCGTTCAGATTCACCCTCTGACCCTGCAGAGAGGCCCCAGCCTTCTCTATGCAGTCCTGCGACTTGGCCTCCCGCCCTCGTGCATGAAGCCTCCCATCTCCTTCCGCAGCCCCACCTGTCCCCTGGGGGATGAGCTGCAGTATCTGGAACTGACCCACTGATGGGCACGTTTTGCTTTAATAATGGACACTGCCACCCATGTGGCACATTCTTAGGACAAACTCACAGAAGCAGGTCACTAGGCCTGAGGATTGACCCCAGGTGGGCTCAGCAAGGTGTGTGGATCTGCCCGCCCGCAGTGTGCAGGGGACCTCTGTGCGGGGAGGGTGGTGGATGGGGGCAGCTGGCAGCAGCTGAGTGCCAGCCGGGAGAGCTGGGGGGGGACGCCCATCCTGTGTGTTTCTCCCCAGGGTGATGCTGACCGGGACGCTGTCTGACCGGCAGCCAGCCGAACTCCACCTCTTCCGGAACTACGAGGCCCCGGAGGCCTCCAGGGAGCCTCGCTTCAGCCCCAGTGCCAACCTGAAGCCCCCGACTCACCCCTCAGGTTAAGGCCGTCTGATGGATCTGCGCTGCCGCAGGGTGGGGATGGGAGTGACAGGCTTGCCATCGGGCTCCGCACCCCTGCAGCCCCCCATCGCCCTGGCCTGGCCTGGCTGAGGACGGGCACGGGGAGCTGGCAGGCCCTGCAGGCTAGCGGAGGCCCCAGCAGGTCCTCGGTGGTCTTGCCTTCCCCAGGAGGCCAGGGCCTGGGGTCACGGAGAGCCCGGGTCCCCTCTTTCTGCACCCCCTCCCGCATACACACGCACGCCCTGAGATCTGGAATGTATAAGCTTCTGCCATCCCTGTGTCACTCGGCCACCCTCCTCCCTGTCCCCAGACCAGTTGGTGTGGCGAGCAGCCCGGAGCAGCGGGGCGGCCCCCACCTACTTCCGGCCCAATGGTCGCTTCCTGGATGGCGGCCTGCTGGCCAACAACCCCACCCTGGACGCCATGACCGAGATCCACGAGTACAACCAGGACCTGATCCGCAAGGTGAGCGCCATCTCAGGCCAGGGGGAGGCCAGGCGATGGCCCACTCCTGCGCTCGCCTGCGTGGCCCTGGAGGGCTGTGTGGTGCCCGCTTAGATCCTGGCCACCTGGGCTCCGGCCTGCAGCACTGTGGTAAGAGGGACCCTGGGGTCCAGGCGGCCCTGCGTGAGGATCCTGCCATCCGCTAACTCCGTCTGCCGTCAGTGGCAGCAGCATGGGTCCTGTGGACCCGTGACTTGCCCAGCCCAGGCCGTGGGCCTGCCCTTGAGGAGCACACCCCCGGGTCCCACCCTCTGGGCTCCCAGGTGCCGATGGAGCGCAGGTGGGGCTGTGAGGCTGCTCCGCATCTGACAAGACCTGTCCCGAGGCTTTTGGGGATGGAGAGGTGCAGAGTCAGTGACAGTGTCGGAAGGACAAGTAGCCGCCCCACCCTGAGGAGCTGGGGCAGGGCGGGAGGCCCTGGTGCCCCGGGGAGGCAGTGTGGGGCAGCGGGGGGCTCGGCTGCCTCTGCTCCTGCTTGGCGCCAGCTGCTGAGCTGGGTGAAGATGGTGCCCACCGGGGATGGTCACACAGTGGCCTGTGAGGCCTCGGAACAGCGCCTGAGTCGCCAGAGGTGCCTGCTGAGTGGTTGTCTGAAGGGCAGCCTGGGCAAGCAGTGTGGCCCTGGGGCGGGGAGCACCTGCCCTCTGGGGCGGACCAGGCAGGGCTTCTGCTGAAGAAGTCAGAGGTGACATGGGGGGACTCAGGTGTGCCCAGTCTAAGTCACATGCCATTCAGCATGAGGAGCCTGGGCCCAGAGCAGGAGGGCTCACCCCATTGTCACCCGGCAAACTGGCAACAGAGGTGGTTGAGCAAACTTGAGGTGGCCCCCAGGACCCCGGGTCCCCGCCTCGGCCCTGCATCCCACTGCGTAGCCCAGGGAGGCCTCCCTCCTGCCGGACTGCGCAGAGGTTCCTCGTTTGTGAAGTGGGGTGGCCGCCCCGCCACACCGGGCTGGAGGACCGTGGGATAATGGTGTGGACACCTGTAGTCCACAGGGAGGGGTCCTCCCGCCCCCCCCCGGGAGCCTGGGTCTGGGGCAGTGTGTGGCCGGCCGGGTGTGCTCACAGCTGGTGGACGTGGAGGGACCTAGGGTGCTTTCCAGTAGACCACGGTGGTGCCCACGCCAGCCCTTCCAGCAGAGGGGCTGTCGCTGAGCCCTGGCCAGACCCTGCCTGCAAGGGCACCCAGGACCCGGGCTTAGCCCAGGTGCGCGGCGCTCCCAGCCCCTGGCCTAGGGCCTCGCGCGACTCTGCAGTGAGCGTCCCCCTGACTCCCCTCGTCCTGCTCTTTACAGGGTCAGGCCAACAAGGTGAAGAAACTCTCCATCGTCGTCTCTTTGGGGACTGGGAGGTCCCCACAGGTGCCTGTGACCTGTGTGGATGTCTTCCGCCCCAGCAACCCCTGGGAACTAGCCAAGACTGTTTTTGGGGCCAAGGAGCTGGGCAAGATGGTGGTGGACTGTGTGAGTGTGGGCCTCTCCCCAGGCCCACTTCCCTCGGGGTTTCCAGCGAGGTCAGCCCCTCCATGAAGGGCGAGGTGACAGGCTTTGTGGGTCCTCTTTGGCCAGCTCTGGGGACCACGCCCACTGTGGGGTTTTCAGATGTCCTTTAGCTGTGGGTCCCTTTCCGCCCAGAACCCCGTGTGGAAGCCCAGAATACACACGGACAAGAGCCGTGGGGCGGGACAGGGGGCCTGTCCATCAGCTGCTGCCCACGCTGCCACTCAGGGACCCTGAACAGACTGCTGAGCCACATGGGAAACCACTGCCCCAGATTGCACAGCCAGGCCAGTCCCGGGCCTGGGGAGGGACTTGCCCAGAGTCACTCGCAGATGGGCACTAGAGCCCAGGGCTGTCTGGGGGACTCCAGGACTGCCAGGGCCAGGCTCGGCTCTCACCCAGGCTGCTTCTCCCCAGTGCACAGATCCGGATGGGCGGGCTGTGGACCGGGCGCGGGCCTGGTGCGAGATGGTCGGCATTCAGTACTTCAGGTGAGGCCAGGCCGGGCCGCCAACCCCGCCCCAGCCGGCGGCCTGGGCTTTCTACCCCTGGAGACCGCCCTCCCAGGCCAGGCACCCTCGGTGACACCTCCTCCTGTCTGTGCAGATTGAACCCCCAGCTGGGCACGGACATCATGTTGGACGAGGTCAGCGACGCGGTGCTCATCAACGCGCTCTGGGAGACCGAGGTCTACATCTACGAGCACCGGGAGCAGTTCCAGAAGCTCGTCCAGCTGCTGCTCTCGCCCTGAGCCCCTCCCGGCCCCTCTGCAAAGCTGGGTGAGGCCACCCACCACGTGGCGCGGAGCCAGGGCCCCACGCCTCCGTCGTCGTCCAGGGATGGGGCTCGGAGCCTGCACCTTCCTGCCTGAGGCTGGTTCTGAAGGCCTCTCCCCACTGCCTTCCCCACCATTTGTCACTCCAGACCCAGAAAGCCCAGGGTCCCTGGCCCGCTTCCCGACTGTGAAGGACATCTGACTTGGCCCGTGGCCCCGCGCCCGGCCGCTAACACTAAGGGTGCCCAGTGTGCCTCCGGCCGGCCTCCCAGGGGCCTGCGCGGCTCTCAGTCCCCGGCAAGTGCAGCCCTCCGTCCTGCTCGCCCGGGGTCGGGGCTGGAGAAATGGGGCCCCCCACTCTGTCAGCAGGGAAGCCCGGGCTCCAGGAGCCGCGTGCCCCATTTGACTTTGCCCCTCAGCACACGCCAGGCACCCCACCCTCTGGCCCCACCCCGAGAGCCCTCCCAGCTTTCAAAGGTTACCCTGTGAGTTCACATCTTCCCTTCGGAAGCGGCTTGAGAGTGGTGAGGGGCTCAGGGGCCCCCAAACTGTGAAATAAATGGCTTGGACTGAAGTTTTCCTGTGTGGCGAGCCTGTGGTGTGCGTGCCCTGTCCCCACCCCGCTCCCTCAGCCTTGACCTGGCCTCTTTCTGGGCCCTCTGGGTAAGGGACACCAAGTCTCTCCTCAGGGTCTCCCCTGCACAGGCCAACGGGGTGTCCAGAGGCAGCTTCTGGGACCCAGGGGCCTTCGTGCTCACGGTGAGGGAAGGCAGAGAGCCCGCTGGAGACCGGGCAAGGCAGGGACCTGGGGACGGTGAGACGGCCAGCAGCAGGGCCCCCGTCTTGGTGGCTGGGTTCGCGCCTCCCCTACGGCCTTTGGAGGAGTAGAGGATGTGCCTCAGCGGCCACAGCCCCTCGAGGGGCAGCTCTGAGGGGCTCAGAGCAGACAAGGTCCGAGGACAGTGATGGTTCACCTGCGAGCTGGCCTCCTGCCAGGCGTTCCCAGGAGGCCCAGAGGAGTGCGTCAGGCAGGGCCCTGGGGAGGTGGGTGGCAGGACAGGGTTTCTCCGGGGCCGGGGGTCCTGGGAGAGGAGGTGACGGGGAAGAGTGGCCCGTGCACGCATGCCCACTGGCCTTCCCTCATTGGGGTAAATAATTGAAGGGCAGGTCACATGAACCCACCCGCGTCACAGGATGCCTTCCCCGCCGGGTCTGGTTACACCCCAGATCGCATTGACATCCCGGCTGGTGAATAATTAAGCGGCCTCCTCCTCTGAGGCAGGCCTCCATCTGCAGGCCGCACTCTGCAGCCTCCTCGCTGCCCACTGAACCCCGGGTGCCTGTAGAGACCGACCCTCAGTGCTCCCCGCCTCCTGCTCAGCACCGGCACAGCCACCCTAATGGCACCCGAGATGGACCAGTTCTACAGGTCCACCATGGCCATCTACAAGGTGAGCATGTGGCAGCCCGGGCCAGGTGTGGAGGACAGGCCTGCTCCAGGAGCAGGGGCAGCCTCAGGCTGCAGGTTGTCTGGGAAGGAGGGCCTGGGCCAGGCTGGGCAAGCAGTGGGCAAGGGAATGGGCATTCCTGGAGCCGTCAGCCACACCACCCAACAGGACCCCAACTGCGCCTGCTCTCAACAAGGAGGACGGGGCCCAGGCCCGGCGGGCTGTAGCTGCACGCAGAGGGCTGAAGAGCTGAGCCGAGATGGGGGGAGCCGGCCCAGCATGGGGAATGGGGGCTCTCTGTCTCTGTCTCTGTCTCTCCCATTTCTAATCATCTCAGTCAGAACTATTTCATCTCCGGAGGTTGCCACAGTCGCCATAGGCACTTATTGAGCTCCTGCTGTACGCAGGGCCCTTTTACATGTAAGCCTCACATCACCCTACCTGTGAAGTAGGAAATAACCACCCCGTCTGATAGATAAGAAAACGGAGACACAGAGGTTAAACAGCTTGTTCAAGGTCACAATAGAAGGGATTTGAATCAAGACACAAGGCCAAGGCCAAGGCTTGGACTATCACAAAGAGCAACACACAGTGACCCACAGTAATTCAGCCGTAAACTTGCTCCCAGGGGTCTCTTTGAGAAGGGCAAGATTGACCCCCACCCCTGAGGCGACTTTCAGCAGCCCCATCTGTTCAGCCCTGGGAGACCTGGACGGGGACAGGGCCATTGCCAATGGACAGGCTCAGCCCAGGGAGGAGGAGAATCTTTGAAGTAGGCTATCCCAGGAGCCGGGGCAGGTGTGAGGGCAGGGGCTGGCTGTGAGGGGACCTTGGCCTAAAATGGGCCTGCCCAAGTGGCCTCTGAGGGACCTGCAGCTGAGAGCCAGGTCGTGAGTCACCCCAGGTTTCCGGGCGGCTCCCGGAGGCTGGAGGCTTCTCAGCAGGGCCAGTGCCCCTGCTCCTTGACCCTGTCTTCATCTCCGTGCCCTGCCTCCCTTGCCCTTGGGTCCAGAGCATCATGGAGCAGTTCAACCCTGCCCTGGAGAACCTGGTGTACCTGGGCAACAACTACCTACGGGCCTTTCACGGTGAGTGCCCTGTCTCAGGTGCCCAGGCTCCCCCCGCTCGGCCTCGCCCACCTGCTTCAGTCCCCTGAGCTCCAGCCCATGTTCTCTGCAGCCCACACGAGACGTGGGGCTCAGCCTCAGCCCCACGCACCTCACCTGCTCTGCTGCAGCCAGAGAGGCCATGCTCAGCCCTTCCTGCGCAGTCCACACCCCCTGTGCCCTGTGATGCCCCCGGGAGTGAGCACCAGGCCCTGCGGGTCCCTCAGAGTCAAGTGCACACCGGGACATTCATTGCTGTGTCACCTGTATGCCACCTACAAAACCCACTCCCAGACCCAGTGCCACCTCTGCACCCAGCCTCACACCACAGCTGGCCACCCTTGCAGGCACACTGCAGCACCCCTGTGTGGACAGTCACCCTCACCGGCCCCGTGTGGCCACTCCCATCTCTCAGCACCCAACAGGGTAGAAGCTGAGGCCACCACTCGCCCTGCCTCATGGGACCACAGAATCAAATCCTGCTCTCCCACTCCCATGCCAAGCCCTGCCCCACCCCAGGCCAAGCCCTGCCCCGAGCCTCTCCACACACCTGTGCACACCCTCGTCACGGGCACACACAGAGGCTGCACCCCACCTGCAACGGACACAGTGGAGCATCCTGCTCAGGGCCAGGCTGGAGCAGAGCCCGCTCTGTTGCCCCTGGTCAATGCCACACTCTGCCCAGGGCACTCCTCCCTCTCACCCACACACACTCCAGACCCCAGAAGTCCCCTCCACACACACTCTTCTGACCAAAGCGGGAGACCCAGAAGGCGGGGACAGAGGCCGGGCTGGGGCTGGGCTGGACGTCCCCTCTCTCCTGCAGCCCTGTCCGAGGCAGCTGAGGTGTACTTCAGGGCCATCCAGAAGATTGGGGAGCAGGCCTTGCAGAGCTCCACCTCGCAGATTCTGGGTGAGGCACTACCCCCCACGGCACCCCATTTCTTGGGCCTGGGGGTCACTCCTCCCAGCTCTTGTCGGGCCTCCCACCTGTGTTACTGATGCCCCCTCAAGCCCAGGCCCCACATTCTGGGGCCCAGTGGGGTCCTCTTGCCCACTGGCCCTTCCAGGAGTCCCCACCCCACAGGCCCCGCCTGCAGCTCTGAGCCCAGAGGCTGATTTGGAGCCCAAGCTCCTCCCTGTTCCTTGCAGGGCTGCCGCAGGGCTGGGACAAGGGTGGCAGAGTCCCAGGAGCTACCTGGGAAACCCCTGGACTTTGGTCCCCAAATCCAGCCCCGGGTGTGGGAAGAGGGCGGAGGGCAGGCTCCCCCACACTGAAGCCACAGCCCCTCCTGCCCCTAGGGGAGATCTTGGTGCAGATGTCGGACACCCAGCGGCACTTGAACTCAGACCTGGAGGTGGTGGTGAGTATCGGTGGCCAGGCCTGGGGTCACTCTGTGTTTCCACTCCCAGAGCCTTCTCGGGTAGGGCCTCCTGCCCCACCTGGCTCTGAGCGATGCGACAAAGGCCACTCTTCCCAGCAGCTGCCCTGGCCAGGTTCTGCGGGCACATGTCCTGCGGTGGCTGGATTGGGCCACCAGAAGGCCCGGGCCATGTCCATCCCCATTTTACAGAAGAGGAGACTGATTCTCAGAGATCCAGTCATCGCTCTTCCCCCAGAGAGAGGGGGAGCTAGGAAGAGAAGGGACCACTGCCGGGTGCACAGTCCCGCCCGCCCCTTCCTCCTCACGCCACCTCTCAGGAAGCAGCACCCTGATCGGACCACCTCACTCAGGGGTAGAACCCCTCCATGCCCCGGCCACCCACAGGACTCAACATGGGCCCCCACTGACCCAGCAGCCCAGACCCCAGTGACAGCCCAGCCACCTGGAAGAGCTAGCCTTCTGCACTGGGCCGCTGTCCTGCTGTTATCCCAGCCTAGAATGGCCAGCCCCTCCCCACTGCCCAGCATGGTATCCCTTCCTCCATGACCCCTCCCCTGACCCCCAACAGTTGTAGCCACCCCCTGCTGACCCCACAGGTGCCTCTAACTGCTCTTGGCACGTGGCAGTTAGGAAAGGGAGCGCCGCAGCCCAAACACTGGGCTCAGAGTCCAGCACCACCAGTCGCTGACCGTGCCTCAGTTTACCTGCCTTGTGGGGCTCCCAGGTGGATGGAATGAGTTAGTAAGTGTGAACCCCCGTGACCCCCTGACCCCGCGCCCTGCCGAGCCTCAGCTGAACGACCGGCAGCGGGATTCAGCTCGCCTGGACACGGGGGGCTGAGCAGGGGCTGGGGGTCTTCTTTTCCCTGAAGCTCCAGGATCTGGGGGTCCCAGCAGGGCTTCACGGAGTGTGGAAGGAGCTTGGCTAGGTGGAGGGGGGCAGAGAGCCTTCCGGAAGGACCCAGCTCCGGGCGGAAGTAAGGCAGAGCCCAGAGGCTGGCAGAGTGGGGAGAGGGTGGGCCTGAGGGTGAGGTGATGCGGGGCTCAGAAGGAAACTCAATCAGCTGTCCCCAGACGGGGCGAGGGGGTCCGTGGAAATCAGGGTGCTCCTTGTAAGATACCATCTGTTTGGTGCAGAGACCAATTTTACCAGCAAAACGTGTGTATCACATCCACACAGGAGCACCCCGCCCCGGGCCCGGGGCTCAACCCTCCCTGGACACTGGGGTGTGGCTCTAAGCCCCGGCCCCTCGGGGTGGGCATTGGGTATGAAGCCTGCGGCTTCCTGCCCTGTGCTCAGCGGCTCTCCAAGCCACTGTGGGACACCTGTGCTGGCCGGGCTGAGCGCCACCCAGGCCTGCTCTGTAAGGGGAGCTGCCCTCTCCAGGCACGGTGTCTTGGCCAGGGCTGTGCCAGGTAGGACAGTGTCACAGTCGCCTCCACCTGGAGCTCAGTGCCAGGCACTGATCGGGCACCAGAGGCCCAGCAGCAGAAAGCCCTGTCCCCACCGAGGGGCAGACCAGCCGGGCTGCGGCTGTGTGGACGCCTTGGGGGCAAACGTGCTGTGGACGAGAGAGGGCCCGTAGCCGTGTCTGGGGCCATTTTTGGCAGGCGCTCAAGGAAAACATGACAGAAAGGGGACGCTGAGAGAGGCCTGCAGGTGGTGAGGGGGTGTGCCAGGAGGTGGCCGGGAGAGCTGGCGAGCCGAGGGGACGCCGAGGGGACGCCCTGGAGAGTCCCACAGCTGCAGTGGGCAGCGCGGGCCGTGGGGGGTGACGGGCCGGCACCGGGGCCACTGATAGCTGTCCTCTCTACAAAAATGCCACCACGGGTGGATTCTGAGCAAGAAGGGACAGGACCTGGCTCGGGTGTGTGAGGTGTGGGCTTCGAGTGGTTTTGTTGTTGTTGTTGTTTTGTTTCCGACTTTTAAAAGTTGTAAACTAAAAACCAGATCCGGGGACTCCCACGGAACCAACCAGAGCTGGTGAGGCCCGCCAGCCCGGAGGCTGCTCCCAGGGTTGGGGGAGGCCAGCCTCCTGGACCCTTCCTCCTCCCCGTCCCCAGAAGGGGCCTCTGGCCTGAGCTGACACCCGCTTTGTTCCTTCCTGTTTGTCCCCTGCATGGACATCCCGCGACACAGGAAAGAGGTTTCACTCTTACAAAAAATAGCTTGGAGTTTCTCTTAACCTGCTGGTCCCCTGCGTCCATTTCCTTTCCCTTCTCTGTCTGTGGGAGACCTGGGCAGGGTGACCTGGCTCCCACAGATTAAAGTCGCAGATCCTAGGTTCCCCGTGAAGCTAAGCAGGTGCCCGTCCTGCCCAGGCTTGCTCGGCCTGCTCTGTCCCAGCACATTGGCAAGACCGAGGGACAGCAGTGTGTCTAGGCCATTTGTACATGCCGTCACGGCGCTGTGCCCAGAGCACAGGGAGCCACAACACCTGAGGACAGGGCTGCCCCGCCTGCTCTTTGCCCCCGCCGCAGGGTTCACATGGGAGAAGCCGGAGAAAGGCTCAGCCCTTCCCTTTAACTCCTCAGTCCTCAGGAGTGAATTTGCTTCCTGTCCCCTGCCCTGCGGGGATGCATCTGATTTTCCACTAGCATCGGAGCTGGGGTGTAGCTCAGGATGGAGCACGTGCCCAGCTCGCACGAGGCCCCGGGGTCCAGTCCGGGCTTAAATCTTGTATGTGGATCTGAGCCCATTAGACGTGCTTCGGTCCTTTGCTACCGTTATCTGCAGGGAGGTGAAAGGGTGCATCTCTGGCCTGTGGTGGCCTCCTCTGCCTGCCTGGTCCTTCCACTTTGGAAGGACTCCAGGGGCTTTGACAGCTTTTCTGCTAGCCTGCAAGACAAGCAGCCCTGGCCTCTTTAGCTCCTCTGCTGCTTTAAACGGGGACCTGACTTTCTCCACGAGCCTAGTGTCTTGGGTTTTATTGGCCAGTGGTATTTTGAGACCACAGTCTGGCTCAAGGAGCCTTTGCTGACTTTGCTGACCTGTGCTTCCAGCTCTCCCGGCGGCCTGCACTGTGCACGTGTAGACACCTCCTCACACACGTCCATACCTGCATCTCGCTAACACACAGCTGTCCCTGTGCACCCCTACACACAGAGAGCTCTCTAGAGACACACAGGATTAAACAGCCAGGCGGGATGGTGCACACCTGCAATCCCAGGGGCTTGGAGGCTGAGGCAGGAGGATTGCAAGTTCAAAGCCAGCCTCCACAATGGAGTGAGGCCCTGCACAACTTAGCTAGACCCTATCTCCAAATAACATAACCATTTTATGTTAATAAAATGTTAATAACCACGATACTTCCAGTCTAGCCTCAGCACTACAGCGCATTCATTCATTTGTCTTTGCTGAGGATGGAGCCCAGGGCCTTGGGCACGCCAGGCAAAATGCTCTGTGCCGAGCTGCATCCCCAGCCCTTGAATAACATTTTTTTTAATCTCTTTTTGTAAAAAAAGTTTTAGCGGGAAATGGATACAATACCTTTTATATAATTTTAGTTGTGGTTGTCAACACCTTTATTTTATTTCTCTTTATGTGGTGCCAGGGGCCTCCCATGTGACAGGCAAACGCTCTACGCTGAGCCCCAGCCCCAGCCCCACCTTGAATTACATTTTTAGACTTTTTTGGTTCCCTTTCTTTACTTTTCTACTCTGGACACCTATTGTCCTCATGTAGGTCTCCATGGCCTGCCTTCAACATTTGTCTCTTCCTCTGGGATGTTTTTCACTTTTTTCTTTATTTCTATTTGTTCTGCTGCCAGAGACCATGGTTTAATGCCTGGAGCTGGGACGTCACTGGGACATGGATCTGTAGCCACAGGTATTTGCAGGCATCAGTTTTATTGAGATATAATCACATACTATAAATTCAGAACTTTTGAGTGTATTAGTTAGTCTTAGGCAACCATCTTCTCTGTCTAATTTTGAAACATTTCATTACCCCCAAAACCTGTGGACCTGTTGCTTTATTGCTTTTTTGTTTACAATTTTCCTTTCCTCCTTTTTCCTTTATATCTCTCATAAGGCGTTACAGTTTATTCACTTTCAAGCTCCTTATAGTCTGATCTTCATTACTGAACTTATGTTTTACTTTTTAAATTTCTATTTCTGTCCTGAATTGTCACCCATTTCTGTCTTGTATCTGCTTCTTAATGGTCGTTTATTTATTTATTTGGTGCCAGAGATCGAACCCAGGGCTTTGAGCATGCCAGGCAAGTGCTCTACTGCTGAACTACATTGCCAGTCCTTTTTTCAATTAAAATAAATTTTAAAAAATTATTTTGTAGTAGGGATTGAAGTCGGAGCATTTTACCACTGAGCTACATCCCCAGCATTTTTCTTTCTTTCTTTTTTTTTTTTTTTTTAAGATACAATCTCACTAAATTGCCAAGGCTGGCCTCAAACTTGAGATCCTCCTGCCTCAGCCTCCCAAGTCGCTGGGATTACAGGCGTGCACCACCACACTGGCTTTCTTAGTGTCTTTAAAACTGCAGCTTGTGTTTTCCTTCTGTTTTGCTGATCTTTCTGGTGTGCTTCTGTGTCTGTGGAATGTGACTCTGGCCTGGGTTCTGTTTTCTCTCTTAGCGACTGTCGACTGGATTTTACTTCACAGGTCGTCTGTTGCTCTTTATGATGGGAAATGAGTTTCGCTCTGAAATTTGGGAGGAGGCGCAGTGGGGCAGTTTCTCACCTTAGCAAGACTCTCCCTATTGTTATATTTTCCTAAAACATGGCAGCTCCCTTGTGGGAAGCCTTTCTGCAGCCTCCTGGTTCTGATCCCTCCCGTGCTTTTGTGGCTTTCTCTGTCCCTTAAGGGCGTCTGTGTCCTTTCCCCCCGTCCTGGGATGGAGCTGGCTGTTCACTTTCAAGAGCCCCTGGACCCCCAGCTGCTCCAGCCCTGGGGCCTCTACGAGGGACCCCGCACTGGCCCTTCGGGACTAGCAGGCCCCCCTCCGGGTTTTGGCTGCTGTT